CTCGTAACTCAACAAATTAATGACATACAGTATGTTAAAAAAGTCTTTGGACAAGTTTACGTGACAATCACATTATGCGACTATCCATTTTAAATTATTAAATTTCAGTTACTTTAAAAGTTCTAGATATATTTTGATAATTTGATGTTTTTTTTATTGCCGCAGAGCTATCTTACTAAACCAAATTTTTTGCTACGAAAGTAACAAGAGATAACTACTACCAAAAATATATTGGTGAACTTTACATTACATTTATAAAATAATGGTGTGTGTTGTGTCAAAAAAATAAAGCAGAAAATAGGCCTCACTGAGTCCACAATATATTATATACTTTCAAAGATCAAGAGATATTGCACCGTAGACTGCTACAAATGAATTGTTCTAAAAAAGAAAAAAATTGCACAGAAACACCTTTAACAAGAGGTAAAATTGAACTAATATATTTTTATCATATCATAGATGGTTATTCTTTTTTGTTACAAAAATTTGAGGAAACATGTTTTCCAATTACGAAATGCTTGGCAATCATTGAGAAAGAACAATTATAAGCATTAAAAGCCGACCAGCTTAAAGACTTACTAAAAATAAATATTACATAAATAGTTAATTGACCTTCAAACAATTCTGATTTGAATTCTATAGAGAACTTCTGGAAAATAATCAAAACCAGCAACAAGAATAATATTCAAAAAATTCAGATGAATTGGAATGATCTGTGACGAAAAAATAGGATAAAATTCCAAATAATCATATAATAATTTAATAAAACCAATTAGTGAACGGTGGCACTTATTCTTGATATACGTGGGCAATGTATCTCTTATTAAAAATTTTATTTGAATAAATTTGGCCTTTTGGCTATATTTTAATTAGATTTGCATTCGATTTTAGCGCAGCTGATCTCACGTGATTGTCCTGTGAAACTTCCAAAGACTACTATAAAAGTTGCCTAACATAATAATTATTTTGACCCAAAAATTGTGAAATTTTAAAAATAACAAATTCGTATGTGTATATATGAAAATCATGTGATTTTTGTATATACCCATGTGAATAAGCTTTCGAAAAAAGCACGGGTTGTTAAATAAGACTATACGATAAGATTTTTTATTCGAATTTATTTGATTAACCTCACATATCATTATTATAACATGAAATATTATAAATTTCAAGAAAGTCAAACGCTTATATCAATATTAGATACTTTTATTGTCGCGACTGATGCAGAAATCTGGAATCTCGATTTGAAACAATATGTACTGCTAAAATCCACATATACTTTTTAAATACCAAATGTCAAATCTAAATCTTGCATTTCACGAATATAATCTATATATTGCTCTTTAAGTTTCCATTTATACGAGTTAAATATTCGATCTATATTTTTTTTTATTATTTACAAGTTCATTAATTTGTTTTATTATTTTGCAGATGAACAATATTATGCGTAGTGATGGGACTAACAATACGAAAAATAATTATCGCATTTATAATTTATGAAGAAAAAATTTTTTCAATGGATCACGTGTATGCCATTTGAATTTTTAATTTTTAAGTTCCATAACTATTTCCAGTCAATCAAGAAGAAATTTACTTTATTAACGCATAACTTATACGTTAATAAAGTCTATTTTTACCTTATAAATGATAATTTTAGAAAAACCTTAGTGTTAGTAGAAATTCCAAAGATGGTAAATTTCATTATTCAAATATTGAGAGTAAAAGGAAACTTTTAAAATATTGTCAGATATATATTACATTCAAACCTATTTTTTCTTTAGACATTTATTATTATAAAACGACAATTATTTTATTTACAAAAGGTAATAACAATTAAGTTCTGAAGTTCGCTAATAACGATCATTTCATTTACACAACAAAAGCTAAAGAAATTCTCTATCCATTTCAATAAATACATCAGTAACAGTATCCCGAGAAAAATCATCTAAGTTAATAACCTGAGAGGAGTCAAAAACCTGAGAATGTCTATCTGAGTTAAATAAAGATTTAATCTCGTGTTCTCTTGTTTTAAGGACTCGAGTTGTTTTCTAAGATAATTTTTTGCATCATCTCTTACTCTCATTTGATTTTCATAAAGATCACAAAAATTATTATATTTTTTTTTCAGAGAAGTGTTTTGTAAGTTTGACTTATTCCTTTCTATCGTTAATTTATCAACAAATTTTTGTAATGAATCGAGTTCGCTCCTAGTTTTTCAATCTATTAAAAAGCAAATATATAATATTAAGAACAGACACGTATAATATTTTTATTGTTTCTGAATAAATATTAAATTTACCTCGACATTTAATAGACGATTTTTTTCTATGGTTAGTTCATAAAGATTTTTATAATGATGATCACTATTAATCGACAGTGACACAATCTCATTTTGCAATTTATTAATTGTTTATTCTTTTTCTTTGAAATCACTTCTTAACCTTAATAACTCATTCTCAAGTCCTGAAATTCTACGGTTATTTTCCAGGATCGTTTTCTTAAGTTGCCTATTTTCATTTTCCAATTTAATAAATAAAAAAAATATTAATTTAATTAAAATAAATTAAATAATAAGTTGCGTTTGCATATCAGAGTAGTGATATATTGCCTGCGCATAAATTATAAAATTCATGCAAAATATTACCTTTTAATTTTTTCTTCATATTCACTTTTTTCTTCATTAAATTTTTGATTTAAATCTTCTGGGCTTGCTAATACTTTAGATT